GAGGAGTGGCTGGTGGATTTGAACCACCAGCCTCCTGGTTAGCAGTCAAATGCCTTAGGCACTATACCACCAGAGCTCCCACAGAGAACTATAGTTCCATCTTTAAAAGATAAGATGGAGCTTTAGGGGGAAATTAATTAGATCCCTTTCTCACATCATGGAGCTCTGGAAGCTCTGGAGCTCTTCAGAAGGAAGATTGGGCAATCTACTTCTATAGTGATACCGCCTCAGAAACCCAAGGGGGGTTGCTATGAGTCAGATGTGACTTTACAGCAGTGAGTTATATACCCTTGACTATATATAAGTTAAGAAGCTCTGGTGGTGTAGTGCCCAAGGCTCTTGACTGCTAACTAGAAGTCTGGCAGTTCAAATCCACCAGCCACTCCTTGGAAGGAAGGATGGGCAATCTACTTCTGTAGTGATACTGCTTCGGAAACCCAAGGAGGGGTCGCTATGTGTCGGATCTGACTTGATGGCAGTGAGTTTTTTATATATAAATTGGGAGCTCTGGTGGTGTAGTGCCTAAGGCATTTGACTGCTAACCAGAAGGCTGGTGGTTCAAACCCACCAGCCACCCCTCGGAAGGAAGACTGAGCAATCTACTTCTGTAGAGGTACCACCTTAGAAACCCAAGGAGGGGTCACTATGAGTCAGAATCGACTCAAGGGCAGTGAGTTTGGTTTGGTATAGTTCTCTGTGAATTATAGGATTTCTGTCCTTTGGCCATTTTATCCCCCTTGGCTTGATCCTATTTCTCCAATATGAACTTCATTTATGGCTCCTCTATTAAATCCTATCAACCAAGCTTTCTCAATTTCCTGGACTTGTCGTAAGTCTTTAGGACTCTTCCCAGCCTTTTTTTTTTTTTTTAATAGTCACAGGAATGGCTGTGGCAACCACCAAACTTTCCATGTCTAAATCTAAAAATGGTACCAGCCCCAGCCTACCTGCTCCATCTGCCACCACAATCAATAAGTAATTCTGATTTGTCCAGCCATTCCCAGTTTCTAGGGGTTCTCCTAGTGGTCATACTTGGTGGGGAGGATAGACAAGGCCATCCCGAAGGGTACAAGAAAATCTAAAACACTAGTTCCAGGTACATAACTGGGTCATGAAGTATTACTTCATGATCTCTCGTTTAAGTGTTTACACATACTATTCCATGTGTCTGGAATGCTGCCCTCCCCTCCCCACCTGTCTCTGTCTACCTGGTAAACTTTTAGTGATCCTCCAAAGTTCAGCTCAAAAGTCATCATCTCTGATTCCAGACAAAGTAGAGACCAAGAAGGTTCTTGAATACCAGGCTAAGGACTCTAGGCTTTGTCCTGAGGGGAGCTATTGAAGGGCTTTATGTGAGGGGATGACATATTTATATTAACATCTTTGGTGGCTGATGAGGATATGAGATTGCAATTCCAGGTAAGGCGACAGGCTAGGGCCTCTCCAGCCAGGCTGCAGCTCTTAGGAGCTCAGAGTTACCTGGGGTCCCACAGAAGGGGGCAATTCTTCGATTGACAGGTTAAGGTCACTGATAGGTGAAAATTTGACAGACATTTAAAACTTCTTAGACTACCAACGCCATGGCCTTAGTAATAAGCAGGTATAAGGTGGGGGGTGGAGTGGAGGAATAAGGGGATGTAGGGAAGGAATAGAAAAGGTGAGAACAGAGAGGGGAAAGGGACAGAAGGGGTTGGCAGAGTTGGTAAGAAGGAGGGTAATAGGGGAATGGATGGGGCAGTGGACAGAGAAGAGAGGGAAGAGGAAGAGAGGAAGCAAAAGATGAGGCAGAATGGGATAGAATGGAGGGAATAGGATAGGGGAAAGGCAATGGAGAAAGAAAGAGA